AGAATAATGCAAAAGAACAATAAGTATTAGGTTTTAGCTGGTTGAATGTAAAAAGCATGAGAAGATAATTATTTTTCATTTGCTAAATGTATTCTTTAAAGATCAAAGGAGATATGAGTTAGCTAATAATAAATAGTAATTCAACCTTTTATTTCAATAATTCATTTTTTAAAAAATTGTTTAGTTGTAGATAGACATAGTTTATTTATCTATTTATTTCTATGTGGTGCTGAGGATCAAACCCAAGTGCCTCACATGTGCTAGTCAAGCACACTACCACTAAGCCACAACCCCAGCCCTCAATAATTCATTTTTTGTATAAATTGATGTGTGTTCAAGAAGTATTTTTTTTGAGAGAGAGAGAGAGAGAGAATTTTTTAATATTTATTTTTTAGTTTTTGGCGGACACAACATCTTTGTCTGTATGTGGTGCTGAGGATCAAACCTGGGCCGCACGCATGCCAGGCAAGCGCACTACCGCTTGAGCCACATCCCCCGCCCCAATAATTCATTTTTGATTAATCATAAGGTTATCCCAGGTTGGCTTCCTGCATTTACACAGCATGCCTCTTAGTCACTTCTCTTCATTTAATTCAGAATGATGATAGGATACAAATTTAACATGGGCTTCAGGAAGATAAACTTTGGAAGGCAGGTAAATAATAACAGAAAAAAGTCACATTAAAAATTTCTAAATAAAAAGTAAAAGATTTGGGGATGTTTGTACCATAGTTCTTTCTTGGCACAGGAAATAAATATTGATATTCAATAAATTGATTTAATTAGAATTTAAATACTAAGTAGGGCTTCATGGTAGAGCCTTGCCTGGGAAGCATTACGTCCTGGGTTTGATTTCCAGCAATGCAAAAACATTTTAAAAAGCTAGAATTTAAGTGATAAGCAAACACTTGTTTCCATATCCTTTAAGAACCAGAAACAAGATTGTAATTTTAAAATATCATAGATCAAAAATTATGATAAATAAAGTAAAATCTAACTTAACAGGAATTTTGATTAATTTAACCAAAGAACAGTTTTGTTTTAATTATACACTCTTTATTACTTGGCTTTTACACACATAAAATACATATTTAATTGAATATTTTATATAAATCTAGGCAACTATTCTAAATACAAAATTATGATTATAAAACAAAGCAAATTCTATCAAGGAGGCATGTGATTTGGTGCTAGATTTACAATTGTCTATCTGATATGTCTCAGTCATTTTTTGCAAAAAATTGTTCACATGAGAACTCAAAAAGTGAGCAATTCATTGTTAAAAAAATTGTTTTCATTATGTAGAAAATAAAACAGGACACAATGCAAAATAAAGATGGTAAAGTCTTCAGAATTTCTTTATATTGTTGCTAGTAAGATGCTAGAACCTAAAGCTATGAGGATCTCTCCAATTAAAATATGTACATCAAATATGCATTTAGTGCTTCCCTGGGAGAAATGATCTGTTAGCCACTTTTGGAAGAAGGATGGTCCACTGTAGACACCAGGAAAATGTTTTCGACCACAGCCATGTCCATAACTGGTAATTCCCATCACAAAAAATTGTTTATGTTCCGGTAAGTAGCACATTAATGGTCCACCACTGTCACCCTATTAAAAAAATGCCCAAATAGTGTTAGCCACTTCTAGTTCTTCAAGCAACAGTAGAGTTGAGATAAATTAATTACATTAAACATATATTTATATAAATATTCCTATTCATATTCCTTCAAGTGATAGCATAGTATTTTTTGTTGTTGTTTTCAGACACTGGCTAGCTAGACTCCAATAACAGAATGAAGTGCAGGGAAGGACTTACAGAGAGATAGGTCGTGGTAGAGAGGCACCTAGATCACATAATTTTTTTTTTTTTAGAGAGAGAGAGATTTTTTTTAATATTTATTTTTTAGTTTTCGGCAGACACAACATCTTTGTTTGTATGTGATGCTGAGGATCGAACCCGGGCCGCACGCATGCCAGGCAAGCGCGCTACCGCTTGAGCCACATCCCCAGCCCTGTCACATAAATTTTAATATGCCCTTGTAGAAAATTATCATCAT